ATTTCATGGTTTTTAAAAAACAATAACTATAATATTTTAACTAATAAACACGAATATAAAACCTTTTAGTAATAACTAGCGGATGTCCCAAGTTACGCCCGGATTTTTCTTAAAATTCTTTGTAAATATATAATGTCTTATTTAGGGAATCCATATCATAAGAGGAACCTAAAATTATAGAAATAAAAACTTACTCCTATATTTAATGCCCGAGTACATATTCCTCGTCGCTGAGGGCATCCCCGAAGCGCTGGGGATTTCGNGACATTTCGGATTGGCTGTCTTGTATTTCAAATAAGTTGTTTAATGGTTGGCATACAGAATATTTCTAAATCTCGACTTTTATGAATTTAAAATTTGGTATTTTATATTTATAAGAAATTGTATCGCAGCCACCAGTCGTCAGATTTTTGTTTTGTTTGTGATAAAAAAACCAATCCTTAGATTCCTGCCATGTTTACCAAACAAACATGTACATCGACTTATTTACTTAGTCTCACTTATTAATTTGCAACCAATATTCAAGTTTAGTACAACTAAGCATTAAGCTTGAAAATCGTTAATGTTATACGATAACGCCCGTGAACCAAAATTTAGAATTTTGGAAGGTGCGTCGATCGACGCAAAGTTAATTGAACCGTCGGATTTCGGTTTTAGTTGCTCAGTTTGTGGCTCGGTTTGGGGAGAACCCTAGGGTTCGCATATATAAGCCAGGAGGACGTATTTGTGTCGGGTTTTTGACAGAAAACAGAGGGTTTGGGAGAGAATTGGGAGAGAAGAAAGATCTTTGGTGTTTTCTTTGCGTTCTTGATCATTGAGGCTTGTGATTGTGAGTTGTAAGGCGTTAGAATCGATTCGTGAGCGTGTTCTTCGTGGAGGAAGGAGTGATTTCATATTCTAGGGATTTCTAGCCTCTGATTTGTCGTGATTCGTCGTGTTCTTCGTGTTTCTCATCCCTTTTTCTTTAATCGAGGTGAATGTATGACCATGGCTTATCTGGGTGGATGGAATGTCATGATACGTTGTTAATTGTGTGGATGAGATTATTGATTGTTTGGAGGATGTTGCCTCTGTGATTTCG